TGGTTTCAAAAGTTTTTCAAAATTTTCCAACCCACAGGTAAAAAAATAGTTTTGGAATGATCGTATTTTTATAAATTTTCCAATGTTAAATTTTGTTATTATAATCTTTTTTATCAGCTAGAGCTCTCAATTTTTGTAAGCTAACTTGAAGCTCTTTCATATTAAACGATATTCAATTAGTGAATATCTTTTAACCAACCCTAATTTGTTTATTAATATTCTCTTTTATATTTCTCTCCATAAAGGGCCTTTTTTTCATAGAAACCCTGTCTTACTCTGTTTGTCTAACCCTGTTTTACTCTCCCAAATACTCTGTCTGTTGGCAAATACGAATGGCCCCTGACTGGAAATACAAGTAATATTTCTGTTACTTGAACTGCAGCTTTAAATCTAAGCCAGAAGTACAGCGAATGAATAATATGGTAGTTTTTGTTTTGTCCACCGCATTAGCCGTAAAAGAGGCGAAATGTCATAATATTATCACGCTCTAAAGAATTCAAATAACTTACAAGTGCAGAACATATTTTAATTGATCCTCTACTTGCCCCATCTTCAGTCTACGTAAAAAAATTTGGATGTTTGGACTAGCAATCAACGCAGCAAAAAACATGCTTATCTGCTGTGTATTAAACGCATCATTAATAGATGTTTTGGGCAAAGCACCAAAAAATTATTAGCCATCTTTTGGTGGATAATCAATCAAATTTCCGTTCTTATTTTGAATTTAAGTCTAGTCATTGTGCGCATATATCTGATGCTGGAGTAGAAAACCCAATGTTAAAATCATTAACAAATATTTTCCTAAACATATAAAAGTTTACATTATGTTCAGGGTTGAATTGAGTCAGGTACATGCCATGTAATTTCTTTATGCTTAGGTCATCGGCCAAATAAATTTCTCTTGCTTTCTTTCTATAATAATGACTTTCTTTTCCTTGTGAGTTACCAATAAACTCTTTTATTTTATTCTTTTTGACAACAGATTTTGTGGAGACATGATCTCCACCCCGGTTTTCTTTTGAGATATTTCTGTCTGACAATCTTCTAGCAACGTAGTCTATGAGATATTTTTTAATATTCACACATTTTAAGAAAAAATCCTGGCATGCCCAAACTTTTTTCTTTCTGACTCTTTTCGACAAGACGTAGTGTAAGGATATGTTACGCAGCTTGACTGCTCGTTCTCTTGTCGATCATTTCCTTTCAATTGGAACTACTGACTTGTAATGACACAAGTGGATATCCTGTTCCGACATCATAAAATTTTCAAAAATATTATGTCGATTGGCTCGATTGTCAATTTCAAGAATGCTGTTGCAGTGATAAGTAGGGCGATTATGTTTGCAAACTCTTTTCCAAATGAGGATCGTTATTACGACATCTAAAACAAAAAATGAGTCAGGTAACGAACAATTTATTTTTTACCTGCTACCTTTGCTTTTGCAATTTTTGCCTCTTGGTCTTACTTTTCTTTTTTCTTCCTATTTCCTATACTAATTTCCAACACACTTCTTCCATTGTTAAAACTTAATACAATCATGGCAAACAACTGCTTAAATACGTAATTCGTAAACAACATAACATAACCTCTTAATCCTTTCCCCCTTAATTCCGACAACGTGATTAAGGTAACATAGTCCTCTCGTTTTTAATTTACAAACTACTACCATAGGAAAATAAGTATACTTCTTTTTTTATGCTACTACTATTAAACGAAGCACGAAACAGCATAAAGAAACGTGCTCTAAGTACGCATAATATTATGGATTTACATCATAGATGGCGAATTAATTATTTAAAGATATATCGGGTTTTGCTTGAAATTTGGATTTATCGGCATTTGATCGAACTGGTCAACTTTGTACATCATTTTAAAGAGAAAATATCGGTTTTTGAAATTTTATATTCTAGAAACAGAGAGGGCTATGGAAAATATCGAACTTAGTAGTGAAGTTCGTTTCGGTTCGTAAATGCCCCTTTGTCCGCTCCTCGTCGATCGATGATGATAGGGTTAATAAATGTTGAAGTTGTGGAGTAAAAGTGATAATTTATTGACAGTAACTCGTAATTACACAATATGGTGTTCGCTCGGTAACTACTCAATATGGACTGTCTCCATAATATCTTCTGATAAACTTGATCTTCTTCAGCTATCTTTATTTGCCTAAACATTTTCTCTAGATCTGCCGTGTATGCTATTTTGTACGACCTCCAATTTATTAATATATTTGTAAGATCTTGTTGCAAACGAGTGCATTACATCATTGAGGCTGATTCCTGTTGAACTTTTACTGAAAGCGTCAAACACGGCCCTGCATTTTGTTGTGATACTATCCTCTTTTATTACCGCATGAAGAGGAAGGTAATACTCTTGCTTGTTAATAGTTTCGGTTTTATTCAATTTCATGTGCCCTAAGTCTTCATATTCCTGCATAAATTTCCTCTACTCTTTTTCTAGATTTCTGTCTCTTTGAAATTTTTTTTCTAATTGCAGCAGTCTCGCATATGCTTGCTGTTTTGAGTCCCCTAATTGACTTGTATTAGAATTAAAGGGTATTTTAACTTCAAATCTTCCTTCGTTATCCCTTTTTACTGTTCTTTTATAATATTCTTTACACTCTTTTTCTTCTACTGAAAGAGCATTGCTTTGATCTACTTCTTCTAACTCCCAGTAATTTTTTATTTGTTCATCCATTTCTTGTCTAGATATCATGCTGACTACTTGTATATTAGGGATATTCTCTTGCTGTGCTATCCCTGACATTATTCAATCCAATTTTGTATTTTAGGTGAGCAAACCATCTTTTGTTCGATCTACTTCGTCCAGTAATATCAAACTATATTCTTTGGCTCCCAATAGAATATCTATTGGACCTGTTTTATTAAAATTTGGATCCGCCAGGACTAAGTTCCTATGGTTCCTTTCTTTTATTTGTATCTCTTTCTCCGGTAGATTTTTTGTTATTTTTCTTGGTCCAATTGCTTCGGTCTTCATTTCAAATTCATTTTTGAAATGCGCCTCTAAGTTTAATGTTACGCTCCATTTAGACGTCCTTTGGTCTTCATTGCCAATTTCAGATATCTGAGCGTGGACAGCTTTTCTTTTTATTCCGAGACTTGTAGCGGCCTGCTCCGTAATGAATGATGACTGCGAGCCTTGGTCAATCAATGCTCTCATCAATTGTGAGCTTCCTTTTGAGTCTCTTACTCGTACTAATGCCGTTGCAAGTAGAACTTCTTCATTCTGATGACTTAAACAGCTCACGGCATTCTCTTGTCTCCTTGACGATCCGTCGTAGCTGTTGTCACCTGTGTTCCCACTAGAATTAGGTCTATTTTGTGGTCTTCTGTTTTCAGAATTCCTTCTGTTGTCATACTGGCACCCACTAGAATTTGGTCTATTCTGTGGCCTTCTGTTTTCAGAATTCCTTCTGTTATCATGCTGACCTTCTGACATGTGTAGTAATGAATGGTGCTGTCCACCACATTCTGCACATCTATGAGAGGAATAACATGGTACTTCCCTTTTGTGTAGTAGGCATCTACCGCACCATTGCTTTTTCCTTTACGATTTTGTTTCTTTCACGTACTTGTTGACGTAGAAACGTTATACATTTCAACAGTTTATGTTCTTCATGACACACCACACAGGTTGTCTTCTTCTTTACCTGTTGTCTATGATCTGTTCCTTTCCTTTCTGTTTCCAACATCTCCAATGTCTGGAATCTTCTTTGTAGGAATTCCTGTGTTGACTTATATGTCGGAATGTCCCTACTATCTTGAATTGACGTTTCACATAATCTCCTGGTTTCTGTGTCCCACTTTAACATACTTATCCTTGCTATAAGAGGGCTCCAGGACTCTGTCATTACACCTAGTCCACTAATGGCTTCTAAGCATTCGTGGAAAGTATCATGTAATGATTTCAGCGCCTTTGCTGACGTTTCTTTTATCTCCGCAGCCTGAAGTATCTTATCTATTAATATAAATAGATTCATCCTTGGATTATCGTATCGATCTTGCAACATTTTTCAGGCAGCACTGTAGTTTGCTTCTGTTGTGTTTAAATGTTTTATTATTCTACTTGCTTCTCCTCGGAGGTTTGTCTTCAGATACTGTATTTTTTCCACATTTGATAGTTGATTATTATCATGTATCAAACGTTTAAAAATATCATAGAATGTTACCCAGGATTCATATCTTCCTTCAAAACAGGGTAACTTCACTTGGGGTAATACTATTTTGTTTTTCTTGGATCCTTCCGCCTCTAATCTCTTATTTTCTTTTATGATCGACCGCACCCTTCTTTTTATTGTATAAAATCTTTCTATTTCACCTTCTTCTAGTGCATCCTGTTCATTGTCCACAGTTATTTCCATTATTAATGTATCTATTTTTTGTACCTCGTCTTTTAAATCCTCTTGTAAATGTTCATCGGTTTCTTTGTCTTCCAATAAATGATGAAGTTTTCCCATCCTAATTTCTATTTCTCTAATTTTTGTCGAAGACTTGTACGAACTTTTAATAAATCCCTCTCAAATCTTTTTCGTTTCTTCATATCTTTTTTCTAAGAGATCTATAGGAAGAAGAAGGCATTCATGGTTGAAAAACTTGAGAGAATGGTACAATTGCACCAAGTTAGATCTAAAATATTTATCAACTCTCGAACCTTTCTCTTCAATTTCTGTGTTTTGATCTTCAAAGTCGTTCCACAATTCATCAAGTGTCTGTCTTTTAATGTTTAAATATTCTCTCGTTCGTTTTTCTTTCCGTAGTTTTCGCAAATTATTTAAAAGCTTCGTAATTTCTTGACTTAGCTTTTCCTGATCTAAATAGCTACTTAATTGATATAAATCCATATTCAAGTTGAAAAATTGAAATAATGGATTTATCGGTTTTTGCATGTATGCTCCTCAAATGTTTTGAAATTATAAGAACTGAAAAGTGTAAAAAAAGAAGACATATTATGGTCTAAAACATATATTTTTAAAGAATTTTTTTTAATTGATATTTTACTTTTTTTCATATCCTGGCTTGAAATTTCAGTATTTCTATTTCCATCCGTTAGGGATATTTTGATTTTTGGGATATAAAATATGCTTTTAATACCACTTGGTCATTTTGAATATTTTACCGACGATCGCTTTTGGGGATTACATTCTGAGCCGCACGTGCAGTAGCAACATGTTTGAAAATACATCTAGTTAGTTGAACACCACCTTCTCTAACTGCAAGACCGCTTGTTTTTGCGACACATTCATTCACCATTTTTTGCACTTCAGCTTTATCGTCGAAAACCAACTTTAAGTCGTCAACAATAGCATCCTTTTTAATTTTTCCTTTTTTGTCTTGGTATTTGGATTTTTTATTTAGGCATGCAGTGTACGACGCTAGATTAGGATGATCTACCTCTTCACCTACAAATAAAACGGCTTATTAAATTAAATGATAAAAGATAATGAAGATCACGGCCGGCGATAACGGGCCTGCAAGGGATGCACTGCAGGCGGGTGCCCCTGTTTGGGCATCAAAATGAGCTTTTTTCTGTTAATGTTATACAAAATATTTAAATAAAATAATTAATTTAATTATTGTGGTTTCATAGTGATTATAAAATGATTATAGAAAAAACTGTTGAGTTTATCGAAAGTACAAGCCGATTATAGCCGCAAATGTCAAACATGAAACAAAAAATTTCGGTATAGCAGTGTTGGCATGATTTTATAATGTAGATGCTGTATTTTTCAAATATAAAAAGATAAAGCTTTGGAAAAGTATATTTTGTTTAGATTATGTTATATTCTGCAATTTTTGATTTATATAAAACAAAAACGAGTAAATATTTGTTTCTTTGGAGATTAATTGCAGTTAATTATCAGAAATTATTTTTGCAATTACCCTTTGATAGATTAAAAGATAAATTTGGAAATTGTTAAACCAGCAGTGGCCATATTACAACGTATGTTTGCAATTAATCTTGAAAGAGACAAATAATTACTCGTTATTGCTTCATATAAAATAAAAATTGCAGAATTCATAAAATAGTATAATCAAAATGTACTTTTTAAAAGCTTTCTCTCTTTATATTTGAAGCATCCAACAAATGCATTATAAAAATATCCTGCCAAACTGCCAAACCCAAATATTTTTGACTTGAACTGAACTGAACCAAATTTTTTTGACTGAAGAAATGATTAACGTATTTAAAAACCTCCGTACTCGTTGATAATCACAAGAAAATTATTGTAAATGATCACGAAATAAGAAAATAATGGCAGCTGTATATATAAGAGTTGTTTGAAGATGACAGAAATAATATTGCCGAATTCTACCAAAACTGTACAGACGGTCCAAAAATTATGAAATGAGAGGTAGAACACGCTATAAATAATGCTAAAATTAGAAAAGCTTGTGGTCCAGATGATACACCAACTGAGTTGCTGAAACTAATAGAGAATGATAACATAAAAGTAGTAGTAAGACTTTTTAATTCAATATATAACACCAGAGTGACTCCCGCAGATTGGCTCAAATCCATCTTTGTCGCAATACCTAAAAAACACAATGCGAGAAAATGCTCAGAATATCGATTAATTAGCCTAATGAGCCACACTCTTAAAATTTTCCTCAGAATACTCCACAACAGAATTAGACGCAAATGCGAAGAAGATCTTGAAAATACCCAATTTGGTTTTAGAAATGCTATGGGAACCAGAGAGGTACTTTTTGCGCTTAACATCCTATTAAAAAAAATGCCGTGACCAAAGAAAAGATATATTTGCATGTTTCGTGGACTTCGAAAAGGCATTCAATAAAGTACAGCATGTAAAATTAGTGCAAATACTGAAAAATATCGGAATAGATGACAAGAATATTTGTGTCATTTAAAATTTGTATTGGAATCAAACTGCTATCGTAAAAATAGGAGATAACCACACCGATGAAATCTCTAGACAACGATGTTCAAATTAAGAAAGTTCACAAAATGACATATTTGGGAACTGTGAAAACAGACCACTACCTCCAGACATCGAAATAAGTCATTTCTTTGCAATAACCATCTCAGTTTAGAACTAAGGCAAAGAATGGTTAAGTGCTATGTTTGGTCCGTACTTTTGTATAATGCAGAAGTGTGGACGCTAAAAGTAACGATCATGAACAAAATTGAAGCATTGAAAATGTTGGTTCATAGACGAATGCTAAAGATACCTTGGACAGCAAGTAAAACTAATGAAGAAGTACTAAAAGTACTGAGGAGCGTCAACAAAGACAGAAAATTGCTAAAGACTGTTAAACATCGAAAAATGTCTTATCTGGGACATATAGTAATGGCAAGTCAATATAAAATATTACAACTGATCTTTAACGGGAAAATAGAGGGCCGTAGAGGTAAAGGAAGAAAACAAGTTTCTTGGTTAAAAAACGTTTATGAATGGATTCAGATACCAAATGCAGGACAATTATTCCATATTGCAGAAGATCGAGAAGCCTTCGCAAGGGTGATTGCCAACGTCGAATAATTCTGATATGGCACGCGAAGAAAAAGAAATATGTTGTATGTTGTATTTAATTTGTTAAGCATTTTGGATAAAATAAAGCGATTTATATCTTGTTATTGATAAAATATACAGTTTATTTCATAGCCCTTCATCCACACGCCATATTAAGGAGAAGCAAAAGATTAATCCTAACAAATAGTTCCTGAACTGGAACGCCATCGAAAGCAACAAGCGGCGAAAGCAACAACGGTTGAGTCTATTCCGTTTTCCTACCATTCCTAGATTTATGCAGAAAATCATCGTCATCATCAGTCATCAGTCATCTATGAGAATGTATTACACGACAGTAGATTCCCCTTAAGCTAGTAAGGTATGACTGGTTAGTTATCGCACATATTGCCACGTAAATGTATCTATATAAATAAATATAAAAAGAGTAACCAACAAAAACCAGCATTTACAGATTAATCTGCGAATTATGCTACATAAACTAGTAGCTTATGCTTTTTTTTTTATGGACATTGAAGTACAGTAAATGAAGATGACAATTACAGTATGTATTATTTAATTTAAACAGAATTGTTGAAAGAATCTCGTGATCATCTTTTCAGACCCATCGCGAAATTAATACTGGAGTTACAAATGATAAAAATGATTAGAAAAAATATGAGATCATAATTATCATATACTGAATGATGTTCTCATGACAGAGGAATAATAGTTTTCCCAAGGAGTGCAAATTAATCTGTGCGATATTTAAATATTTTGGTAAGCTTCAGAATGTAAATATTTAATCTTTTTACTAGAGAATATAATGATTAGTGTAACAGCTCTGTTACACTTTGGACTACTAGTGAAAAAGAGATGGGGATTAAATTCTATTTATTTCCTCGAGCTTTATGCTATGAGAGTTTGGTTTTTAGTTACCTACTTGTATATAGTTTAGTAGATTAAAAGTTAAAAAAGTGAATTACTTTTTATATTTATATCACTATCCAAAGTTACCATTTTACTTGTATTAACATCTTTATATAAACATTTCAAATACTTTTTTTTGTCCTACTACGTAGTTTCCTCAAGAGATTGTCTTCATTGTACCAGTTTTTGTTCTAACTTTTGTCCCGTATTTTCTACCAATACTACATTATCAGTATACATTAAGTACCAGAGAATCTTTTTCCTGTTATCTAATTCAACACAAATGAGAATAAGTAAACAACTAAGGATTGAGCCCTGGTGTAATCCTAATTTTACATGAAATTTATCATTCTTTTTCATACTTTTTCGAACATGAGTTGTTATGGCTCCCTAATACATGACTGAGCTCTCCAGTATCTCTAGAGGAACTCTATAATTTGCTTTTTTAAGATCAATGAATACCATATAAGCGTTATTTTATTCCTGTGTTTTTCTATCAGCTGCCTTATAATAAAAAAAAATTGCTTCTGTTTTGAGCTGCATTGTATAAAACCAAACTTATTTTCAAATAATTCGGTTTCTTAATGATCTATGTATCAATCACTCATCCCTTAAATAAGTACCAGAAGGATTTGCTCTCCATAAAGAAAATTTAAAAGCATTAATGACAAATCTCCTTTGACTAAAATGATTTGTCATTAATCCCTCCTCTCCTCCTCCCTCCCTTTAATTAGCTAAATTGAAAAAATACTCCCACAATAACGTCTAGAACCAAAGGGAACATCTATCCAAAAGAAATTAGACAACTCATAGTAGAAAAAAAAAAGGTGAGTAAAAAGTGGCAGCAATACAGAGGGGCATAATACCACGAGACAAAACTGATCTTATTAATACTACACATAAACTAAAAAGGAATATACAAAATATAAAAAATTTAGCAATTGATTTCTTTTTAAGTATCTTAACAGCTGACCAGAACACAAATAATTTTACGAAAGGCAACAAAAAGAATGAAGAGACCAATTATTCATTCCTCTCCAATCGAGTTGGAAAACTCCAACTGGGCTAGAAGTAGCCAACAGAAAGCAAAACGATTTACAGATCATTTAGAAAGCACGTTCAAACCCAACTACAACGGTGGTGAAGAACTAGGATGGGAAGAACCATTCCAAACCGTAGAAAGAATAACGTTGACATAATTTAGAGAAGTATCAACAGAGACAAAAGAGAATATAAATCCTAAGAAAGCTCAAGGATATGATCTCACAACAGAACTAATAAAAAATCTACCAAGAAAAGGCATAGTTAGGCTGACACACTTAATAATGATGCTTTTAGATTGAGATAAGTTCCCAGAACGTAGCTAAAGTCACTATGATTGCCAAACCAGGTCATACTCCTAATAAAGTGACATCCTATTAGCCAATATCACTCCTTCTGCTGTAGTAAAAACTATTTGAAAAACTTCTGTTGAAAAGATTAAAACTAATAATAAAATGAATAATCTCATACCAAATCATTAATTTGGTTTCAGAAATAAACATTCCACTATAGATCAAATATAATAGAAAAATATGAGAAGAAAAGAAAGGGTGGTCTACAATCTGTTTGGACATAGCACAGGCGTTTGATAAAGTCAGGCATGAGCGTTTTAACTATAAACTAAAAAAGTTCATGCCTAAACAGTATTCAGAAATCATACATTGCGAATAAATATTTTAGAGTAAAACAAGCAGAAGTGTACAACAATTTAAGTGAGATCAAAGCTGGCGTGCCACAAAGGAGTGTATTAGGTACGGTCCTTTACCTGTTGTATACGTGTGACACTTCCGAACTAGAACAAAACACTATTGGCACCTTCACGGATGATACAGCCGTACTAGCAATAGGAGATACTAGTGAAGAAGCGACATAAGTTGCAACTATCAGTAAATATTATACATACCTGGACCAGAAAATGACAAATAAAATTGAATGGGACTAAATCAACATAAATTAACTTTACAAATAAAAAATAGAACATTTTCCAGTTCGAATAAACGACCTAAGTTTATGTCAAAAACAAGTTTAAAAAGGAGGGAGCTTAATATCAGATACAACAAATTGTATTGGTTGATTGGGAAACAGTCAACATTATGCATTCATAATAAATTATACATTTACAAGGAAGTACTGACGTCAGTATGGGTATATGGGTGCCAAGTCTGGGGCTGTACCAAAGCTAGTAATTTACCATAGTAATATTAATTAAATCCAGAGATTTCAATACAAAGTACTGAGAAACATTGTTGATGCTCCTTGTTATATCCGTAACAGCAACCTCCACCAGCACCTGGGTATGGAAATTGTAACCGAAGTAATCAAGAGAACAGCAGCAAGTAACGAGCAGAGACTGCATAGTCACGTGAATGTCGAGGCAATCCAGCTTTTTGACAACACTTAACTAAAGAGAAGACTCATAAGGACAAAACCATTTGAAATAGAGTAAGTGTGTAACAGTTTAGTGTAAAAACGGACTATAATGCTGTGAAGTTATTGCATGTTAGTTAAGATAAAGTAGTTAGTTAGTAAGTTAAAAAAAATAAGGGTAAGCCATACATGTGTTATACAAAAAATTAGCTGAAACTATAACTATAAGTTATTTTAAATAAAATCTTACCTTGACTAAACTTAGAAAGAACTTCCTCATTAACCTGATTGGCGGGATCAGATAAGCATTCTTGGTTATACTTTTTAAATTGCTTCAGACGTTTAAGGAAAGCTCGTTTTTTCTGCTCTCGTTTCCTTTCATATTTATTTAAGCATTTAAAAAGTTTTAATGCAGTAAGATCTGCTGGATCGTTTTCATCCCTAGTCCCACATTTATTAACTATTATGTCAATTGCAGCTTCAGTTTCCTCGCGTTCCAAGCTTTTTCTGATAGTTTCCGTTTTTATATCTCCGTTTATAGTTTGAAGATTTAACTTCAGGCTAATACAGAAGGTATGTGCTCTTAAACTAGCAGTGTCAACATTTTTTCCTTTTCGAGCCTTTTTAAGAGTTTTTTTATCAACCGAAGTTTTTGGATCAGCTTGACATTGTTCAAAAGCAGTTGTGCCTGTGTTGGCTGTGTTCAAAAGCGACGGTTGTTGTACTTTATTATCTGAAGCATTTTGTTCCTGATCATCCTTATGTTGGGCGTTTTCATTAACGCACTTGTATAATTTAATTGCCGTTTCTTCTGCCGATGGATCCACTATTTCTGAACATTTTATTTTTAATTCCTTAGCCCTTGTTTTATCGCTTACCTTTTTTTCTAAAAAATTTTTAATTCCGTGTTTATTAACTGTACCATCTGCATTCTGCATTTCAAATTTTTTGTTCATACAAAATATGTAAGGTTTTAATTTAGATGTATCTACTGCTTCCCCCTTGTTAAACTTCTCCAAGTCACTTTCATTTGCTCTAGTTGAATCATCAGATTGGCAATGTTTATGAGCTTTACTTGCCTTTGTTGAACGTTTGTTACGTCTATGAACGTGGATATGAGTATGGTTGTTGTTATGTACATGGACGGGCGTATGTAAACATCTATATAATGCAATAGCACTGTCTTCTGCTGATTCTCCGGGTAATCGACGGCTGCATCTATGTGCTATTATATTGATTTTGGCTAGTCCATCCATAATTTCACGAAGATTATTTTTGATGGCCTCTGTGTTGATCTTTCCATTTTCATCTTGAATTCCAAGTTTTATATTAGTACAAAGATAATGTAGTCCTAAATTAGTAGCAGTGGTCGGCTGATGATTTCTGAACTTCTCTAATTCCGCCTCATCCACATAAGTTGATCTATCGTTTTGGCATTCTTGTTCTAGTCGTTTAACTTTTTCCCTAAAGGCAGCTGCATCTGGTGCAACCTATAATAAAAATACATTTTTTAATTAAATTATCTTAATGGTTTATACACGTGAAGTAATTTATTAGATATTCACATTTTGTCGTTATTTTAGGTTTCATTGATCAACCAGAAAATAATTTATGCTTCGATTTAATAGAGCAGGGTGAATCTGTTCAGGTGGATGTGATAGGTAGTTTTGAATTTTTGCAAAAATAGTTAAGTGACAACTTAAGTAATAATAATTGACATATTCTTTCTCTCGACTAGGTCGGGAACATTAATAAAAAAATTAAAATTTAAAAAAATTACTAAACCATTGAGCACAAAGACAAAAGAGGGAATCTAATCGTTATGAAAAGGAGACCAAAAAAGTGGCCTTTGATGGCCGTCATATCCGGAAATGCGAATGCGCCAAATTTAAATTTTCCGGCACTTATTAACAGTAGCTATAAAATAGTTTTCAGAATCTGTCTTAGACGAAAAACTTTAAATAAATATTAAGGATAACAGTCTAAAATGTGACACAATTGTTAAAAACTTCAATATAAATAAGCTTTCATTTGACAGTTGAAACAAACAATAAAACATAACCCAATAAATTTGATTTATTAAACAAGGAAAGATTCTCTTTCCTTATTTAATGTGGCCTCTCAAAATGGCATTCCCTGTCTAACGATATTTTTGCCCCCACTACCTTTACATTCCCTCTTTTGTCTTTTTGCTCGATGTACCAAACACATCTACTTTAATTGAATATAACTTTTCATTTTGGAGCAAAGTCTCATTTTTCTTTTTCAGTGCCTTATCCGGTCTGGATGTTGGCAATCATCAAGGCAATCATGGTTTCGTTGACTGCTCTATGAAACAGCTCCGCGGAGGTCATCCCAAACCATTGGAGGTTTTTCAACCACGATATAAGACGCTTCCTGGTGCTCTCCTGCCATATACTTTACCCTGCATAACGGGTTGAATTATTTGATATTTTTGTTCGTTCCGCATCACGTGTCCGAGGTACTCAAGCTTATGTTGTTTTACTAAATTAAGCACTTCTTTTTCTTTTGTCATGCGCTGTAGAACCTCAACGTTGGTGATATAGTCCATACATGATATTTTTAGTATCCTTTTGTGGATCCACATCTCAAAGGCTTCAATCCGCTTTTTTGTGGCTTGCATCAGTGTCCAGGCTTCAAATCCATATAGTAACACTGGAAAAATGTAGTACCCCACTCTCCGCATCTTGGTTTCCTAACTGAGATCACTGCAGTACAGCAAGGATCTTAACTTGATAAATGTATAACGTGCCATTTCAATTCGGGATCTAATCTCTTGAGCGTAATCCCATTGTGAGTTGCAGGTATGTCGCCTCTCTAGATCTCTTCGCTACCTGCCATTAGTGCCCCGGGATCTAAATTTGCACTGCTGACACCAGTGAATTTAGTTAGTTTACTTAATATTAAGATCTAGTCCGTATGTCACGCTCACAGTTCTCTTTGGTTTGTGAGGGTTTTAGTAAAAATGTCCTAAAATTACATAGATATTCATCAGTACATGATCTTATGTTAGTCGGTCAGCTGGTCTTCGACCTTGACTTAAGTGACTTTAAATTCATGATAATTTATGATGATCCGAATGTCCTTCTCATCTTATTCTACTGTTTGTAGGGCAACCACCATCTTTTGGTGCTGACAACGGTCAAATGTCATGGCATAGTTAATAAAACAAGTGTAGGCATCACAACTGACATCACGGTATCTCTGAAGTAGGACTTTCACCGATATTCTCTTCTCTATTCTCTAAGATTTCTTGTAAATTCTAGCATGTATGATTTTAAGAAAAATTTTAAGTGTATGAATCATAAGGCTGATAGTTCATGTTTTCGCAGATCGTTTTTTTTTATAGTATTAAAAATGTTTGACAATATCCATTTCTCTGAGATATTACCTAAATCATATATGGAGTTAAATAGTTTATTTAACTCCTTGGTTCTCACTACACTCATCACCTTAATAATTTCACCGGATATTTCGTCCAGACTTATCATTCTTAGACTGTTTTAAAGCTGCTTTCACCTCGCTTTCTAGTATTAACGGCTCTGTCATGCAATTTATTTCTGGTAGGTTCCTCGATAATCCCAGGAAAGTTCTTCGATGTACATTTTCCAGGTTACCAACTTCTCCTTTACTGAGATCGCCAGGGTCCCGTCTTTGTTTATGAGGATGTGTGTGTTTCTCCTCTTGTATTGACCAGTGGCTTCTCGAATCTTTCGGTGGATATTTATATGATCGTGTTTCAGTTGAAGCTCTTTAATTAGTTTACATTTTCTTGTACCTATGTCTCCTTGGCTCTTCGTGTTTCTGTTTTAATTATTTGGTTGATTTCTTGGTATTTCTTCGCGTCCCTCTTTTTCATTAATCTTCTTTGGTCCCTGCAATCATCTGCAGAATGTCATCAGTCATCTATTCTTTATTTTTTACTCTTGTTTTCTTTCCCAGATATTTTTTCCCGCATTTAGCATGACGTCTTTGATAACTCCATTTTTGTTCTACACTCTGTTCTTGTTAGTTAGCGGTTTTTAGTTTTTCTCTCATTACATCTCTTACATTCCGACGAACTATAAGTTCTTTTACAGTGTCATAATCTAGGTTCTACTTAGGTTTAGTTTTGATGAGTTTCTTTAGTTTGAGTTCTATCTGAGCCACTAATGGGTTGTGGTCTGATGAGACGTCTGCTACTAGGCAGGTCTTCGCCGAAGTCAAGCTATTCTGGAATCTTTTATTAATTAGAATAAAGTCTATCTGGTTTCTGATGATATTATTGGCTGTATGTGCAGGTGATTTCCACGTATAAAGTATTCTTGGTGGAAGTCTAAACCCGGTGTTAGCAATGGTAAAATCTTCTTCGTGACAAAATTGTATAAGTCGATCTCCCGTTTCGTGTTTCTCGCCTAAGCCGTGTTCTCTGACGATGTCTTCTATTCTGCTTTTGCCAACTTTGGCACTGAAATCACCCATGGTGATGGTAATCTCGTTCTTCTTTGTATATTTTAGTGCTTTTTTACAAGTGCGTAGAACTCCTCGATATTCTCTTCTGGCTTTTCTGATGTTCTAGCGTAAATTTTAATGATGTTTGTATTAACGGATCTACTTTGCTGCTTCATCAGAATGATTCTATCAGAGAGGGCAAAGTCTTAAGAAAATAATATAGCGACAATTAAATTTCATTTAGGATATGGCTAGTTAATAATGATTTAATTTATTACCCTTTCTGAAAAATAGCAGTAAATAATAAAAAAAGGGAAATAAACCTTTTCTTATTCAATGTTTTTTCAACCACTTAGATTTCACTTAAGACCTTAATAGTTCGTCTGAAAAATCTTTGTAATATAATAAAACAGCCCAAAAAATTTCATTAAAATCAATTTAAGGATTTAATAGATTTCGCATAATAATTTAAATCTCATCTAAATTAATTTATTTTTTTTTTAATTGAATTTTTTTAACATCTTTCACTTTTTTCACTATAAAAATGCACTTCTATTTAACGTACCATACATAATTGAAATCGAACCAAGGGCATATCAGATAGAGTAGCATACACGACGCTTAAATTAAAAAGAACGTCCTTAAACATTATACAGGTGTACACTCCAACCAGTACCTACAGCGATGAAGATATTGAACATTTCTAGGAAGACATAACAACAACTATGGAAGAAAAGAAATCAAAATTAACACTAATAATTGGGGACTTCAAAGCCAAAATAGGAGAACAACTATATAAAGAAGATGATAAAGTAGGACACCATGGATACGGCAAAAGAAATGATAAAGGACACACATTGATGAATTACTTAGAGGAGAAGCAACTGTATGCAATGAATACATTCTTTAAGAAAAAAACCCTAAGAAATGGACATGGATTAGTCCCAATGGTGAAACTAAAAACGAAATTGTATATTCTTTCAACGCAAAAATCTAAAACAGAACAAAAACCAACCCAAGAAATCCGTAATCAGTTACAACTGGAAATAAAGAACGATAACTCTGACCTACAACCAGAAATCACTAAAAATGAGATTAAAAAGGCACTTAAAGAAATGAAGAATAACAAATCTCCTGAGAAAGATGGAATAACTGTGGAAATGCTAAAAAATGGAGGGAAAACTACAGTGAAAGTCCTTTATATAGCAAGGAATAAAATATTGAACACAAAACTAATACCCACCACATGGAACGAGGCAATAACACTATTACTATTTAAGAAAGGCGATAGAAAAGATCTGAAAAACTATAGGCCCGTAATGCTACGTAATGTAATATACAAACTGTTAAATAAACTACTAACAAACAGATTAACAACTAAGTAAGATAATTATCAGTCAAAAGAGCAAGCCGGTTTTAGAAAAGCGAGCACCTGCTTATGATAAAAATATTAATTGAAAAGGCCAACGAATATCAAATCCCAATATATATGGCATTTGTAGACTTTAAAAAATAATTCGATAAGGTGAAACATTGGGCAGTAAAGAACTCTTTACAAAATGGGAGAATAGATTATAGATATACGGACTTAATTTCCAATATATATGATCAAGTAACAAGATCCATTAAATTAGTTAAACAAACGAAGCTTTGGAATATGTTATGAGAAAACTACAATGAAAAAAACTGGGTAATAACATAAATGGCCAATACTTAAATCACTTGAGATATGCAGACGACATTGTATTAACAATAGATAAAAGGGAAGAATTACAAAATATGATGGATGAATGAAATAGCGAATTATCAAAAATAGCTCTACAAATGAATGAATTACAGTTGCACAAAAAACTATAGAATAAGTAAAAGAATATGTATATTTGGGACAACTAGTTAAATTAAATAAAGAAAATCAGACCGAAAAAATAAAGAGAAGGATACGGTTGAATTGGGTATCCTTCGGAAAACATTCCTATATACTACAAAATTAAAAAAAAATTTAGGAACAAAACTGGATCCAGCAGAAACTGCTCTTGGA